GAGGTCGAAACTGCAGTCCACCCTGGATGAGAACAACTGTTGGGAAAGCAAGGCTATGTGAAATTCAATGAAAACGTAAGCTCTACTCATATCATTGTGGAAACATTCTTTACCAGTCCTTCATCACCTTAAACGAAATTGAGTGAATAGATCTCATATTACTGATTTAATGGTAGTCTCGAAACAATATTTAAATACTTTTCTCCTATTCAACATTTTTGTAATCTGCTTATTGTGCCCTGCACCTAATTTTATCTATTTTCATTTTTAGATGCGTTATGAATAACTGACTTATAAATACATTTAATATAAAATATGAACTTGCCAAATATAGTTTATCTTAGCTAATCACCTATCTTATAACTTTTCCAGCAAACTTGCTTTAAACAGCCAGTCAAGGATCGATGAGCTGATGGCTTCAGTGCGCGCATGGAGGAAAGATGGGCAATATCCTGAATATAATACTGGATATAATGTACCTTCGACTTCTGTCAGCTCTGAGACAATTGAAAGTGAAAATGAAGGAGAAGACCAAATTTTGCATGGGGAGAGTGCTATCTGTTCATCTCACTTGCAGCCAGACTATAATTATCTTTGTAATGATACACCAGTTACCTTAGCGCCTTGCAGCTCAAGAAGACTCACCATTACTAGGCTTTGTAGCCAGGTAGATTGTCTCAGCCCTACCTCAGACAACAGTCGTAGAGTAGGCTGTAGGCGAGCCAGTCAAAATTCAAGCTATTCACACACGCCATCTGAAGAGATACTTGATGAAAGCTCATCTGGGTCGGAGTATGCGTCTGAGATCGGTTCCTCATCTGCAGCATCCGATCGGGGTTCTGCAGAGCGTTGGGCTGAATATATGGAGGTGGCGACAATGTCGAATAAATTCTTCGCTGAAACAACTTGCCTACCCGAACATTTTTTGTCTAAGTCACCTCAGCACATAAGATCCTATGATGAGACCTCTTATATTACATCAATGAATGTTGATATGCCGTTGAGAATTGAGAAGGGCATTGAAACACCTCTTGCGCAGACGTCAGATAGCGGTTATCAATACTTTAAAAGTGGTAAACGAATTTACATAGGAGACTTACAGCCAACTGAAGCAGCAGGTCCTCTCTCTGTGGTCTACTTTGAAGTGAGCAGTTCAAAAGTTCGGGAGGTTCTGACCGGATATGAACAAACTTCAATTCCATCTGGAGTGTTGTCGGAAACATCCACAACA